CTTTGGTATAACCGTACAATAAATGCAATGGTAAACACTACCAAAACATGCACTTTACAAACTGCTACTTTATGTTTTTCTCACATCAAAGAAGAGCCACGTTTTTCGAGGATGTAAAAAGTCAGCCCAAACATTTGAATCTGCTGATACAAATTATAAACATGTTGACGATGAATGGATAGAATAATAAACTAGCAGTTTTGCATATCAGGTGTTCCAAAACTAGAAAAGGGAATTATTAAGTATGAATGTCTTCTCATCTTTGACAAAAATCGCTTTGACTCATGATACATTTCTACAAGTTATTGTCTGTTTCATGTATAAACATTACCTTGTAGAGCAGTTGCTCATCCTGGTAAAGATGCTAATGAAAATGCTATTTCCTTGTGCGCACGAATCTTGAAGAATATATGATTTTATAAAGCTGTTCTCTCATTAACTATGAAGGTTCAAGATTATCCGGAGGTAAATCGAGTAAACTTGAGCTTATTTTGAACATGGTCAATTGCTCATAGTTATTGCTCACACCAGAATCACATGTCAAATGCCACTAGATTATTAAATTTAAAGCATGCACCCCTTCATAAGCATGCGATTACACAAGGCAACTTTTATGGGAAGTGCCTGATTAAAATGCCAATATTCATTTGATTTTAAACAATTTCAAAACATTTAAAACAGACAAAAACAATAGATTTCCAAAAGATGTAATGTACCAGAGTTGATCAAAGGTAGAATCAAGAAGAAATTGAGAGATAGGCCTATAAGAGAGTTGATTGTTTCTGAAGTGATGGCCCAAACAGGATCCCCCTGCAATGTTTACAAGAAAGGTTAAAAAACTGAGGAGTCCCTGTATTTCAGAGGGTACTGGAGTTGCCATAAGTAAGTTTGAATGGCTTCAATTGAAATCCATCTTTTGCCTTTATGGCAAAAGAATATGTGAGCAATAGACATTTGAAAATGCAAATAAGATACTTGAAAAAACGTTACAAATGCCTTTTTGATAATCTAGAGGAGCATAACATATAAGATGGACATACAAGAAACACAAAAATAATAAAACAAACTGCATTTTGATTACAGAAATTTATCGAATTTCCACGTAAGTTGGAGAACTCAATATAGGTGGACATTGGAATGAAATTTTCAGGGAAAAGAAAAACAACATGCCAGAATAATCAATTGTGGTTACAACATAAGTAAAAAAGAACCACTTAATCAAACAATAATGATAAGTAGTGTAGGAACAAATTGTTTGCCCGGACGAAGAGCATTTAGTTCCTTCCATCTGTTTCAAGTGAAATTATTTGATACCAAATTCTTTTTCCTGCCTGTTTTCTGGTGAATGTTACAAATGCAGCTGAAGACTGACTAAACTACCACAATAATGGTGAGATTGGTGAATACCAAAGGAATTAAAACTAGTGAATTCACAGCCAAAAACACAACTTATAGGCGTCAAACCAGATGTATTTTAGAAGAAAACCTGAACAAGATTGTTGTGTGTTGATAACACCACAAACAAAAGTAGACACGTCTTGATTAATGAAATTAAAGGTGGGAACGCCTATACTTACTGGAGCATAAGGAAGTAAGAAGAGCCAAAACACATAAACACCCTCCGCAACCCACAAAACAGCCTGAAGTATTTTCCTTACATTATCATCCAACTCAGAAACTGAACTACCGCCGCCGCCTGTGGCTGCCATGGTAGTGGACATGAATTTCTGGCAAGTGTTATCACGATTATATAGGCCATTATCCAATCGCCTGATCCCAGAAGGAGCACTAGTTACTATAGAACATTTCTTCGTGTTTCCGGTGCAACATGCGAAGCCATTTCGTCTTCCTCGGAGCAAAACCTGATGTTTTAAATTGAAATCGAAACTCGTCACGGGCTTGAATGAAGTATAATTAAGTACTGGAGTATAGTTATTGCATAATATCAAAGAAGCCGTCTGCATCTTTAAACAATAAACGGCAGCAGCCGTGACACTTTTTCTGGCGACGGCCTTTAAAGGGTTGTGGTAAATTGGGAGTTGGGAGGTTTGGGCCACGTGGCATGTCATCATTCATTCAAATATTCTAGCGGGTCTAGTTGTCTCCTGTGTTTTCATGTGCAGTCCTATCCAGTTTCACTGAAGTCGCACTAAATAAATCGGTAAAAGACAACTCGAACCGCAGCTAATTGGCCGGCGAAGTGCTACCTTGTGAAGTTTCATATATATATA